AGGCAGAGAACTGGAAGCTCAAGTTCTATAAAGTGTTTAGCTTCAATAGTGTTGGGTTGTTCAACATTAATATAAAATGTGACTTATTGCTTGTGTTTAAATCTAGAGTTTCCAAATAAAATTTGGGTTTCCATTTTATTTTTTTTTCCCCTCTTCACATCTCTCTCCCTCTGTCTATCTGGGGGGACGGGTATGTAGGGATCAGAGGACAACTTGTAGGAATCAGTTTTCTCCTTCCTCTTTGTAGATGGCAGAGGTTGAACTCATTTGACCAGGCTTGGCTGCAGGTGCCCTTATTGGCTGAGCCATCTCTCTGGCCCTTTATCTTCTTTAGAAATGAACATTGCTGATTGGACTAGGGGTTAAGGGTAGTTCAGTTGGTAAAGTGTTAGCTGTGTAAACATGAAGATCTGACAGCTCCCACATGAAAATCTGGGCATGGTAGGGTATACTTGTAATCCCAGCACTAGGGAAGCAAAGATTTCTGAAGCTCCATGCCAGACTTAGCCTATTGGCAAACTCCAGACCATGAGAGACCCTGTCTCACAAAGCAAGGTAGGCAGCTCCTGTGGAACTACATCCAAGATTGATTTCTGGCTTCCACACACACACGCATACTCACCTGCACACATGTGCACCCTCCATAAACAAAGAGATGCAGACACACACACACACACACACACACACACACACACAGACACATACACACACACAGAGTAGATATTACTGATAAAACCAGTTTCATATTTCTGTAGGAAAACAGTTATCTGCATGTGTGTGGTAGCTGTGCCTTCACAGCCATTAGTACTCAGTTTCCCATAGTCTCTATATACTTTGTTACCTTTTCTGTTCATGTAGTAATAATTGAGAGAAGCTAATTTGTTACTGAATTCTCACTATGTGTTAAACCTTGTTCTAAGGTGTGATGATCCAGGGATCAACCACAGGAATGCAGTACTAAATCACAGGGAACTGCAAATAGTAATTTGTGTTCCCATCAAAAATTAAAATCTAAAGCTGGGTATGATATATCACATATATCCCAAATGCAGGAGGTTGAGGCAGGAGGATTCCTATGAGTTTGAAGCCTACAGAGTGAGTTCTAGGTCAGCTTAGATGAGAGTGAATGGTCTGCCTCAGCAAAACAACAACAAATTAAAGACAAGAAAGGTACAGTATTGAGAAGTATGACAGACGTATATTATATGATGTATGAGTGAGTCATAGTGAAATTCATTCTTCTGTGCAGCTAATATACCTTATTAAAAAAACAAGTTAGAAAAAACAGAGTGTCATATTTTAGGGAAAGCAGAAGAAAATAGGTTTCTTTTTGTAAATTAAAAAAAAATCTTACATTCTTAAGAGGCCAATTGTGGCTATATGAAAATTACCCTGACTACCTCATCTGCTTTTCTTCACAGATGGAGCTCCCCCTCCCTTTGTGAAATATAAATGCCAATAAGCTGATCCCGGCACAGGCCACATGGATTTTCTTACCTCTGTGTAGACCATCCTCAGTGCAGCTTTAGAGACCGAGACTTGTTCCCCGATCCAAGAAATGGGCTGTGCTGGTGCACTGCTGTCAGTGCTCTTGCTTCTTCACCTATAAAGACAAGCAAGGGCCCGTGCTGGAGAAGTAGCTAAGTTCCTGCCTCCCTACTTCCTCTCACCTAATAGTTTACATCTCCATTTGGTCCACTGTGTACTTGTAGTAGCTGACATCTTTAGGATGATAAATCTGACTAGGTTTCAATTTTGATCGCATGACTAAAGCCTTCCCACTCACAGATAGGCCTTTTATGGGCATAGATGCTGAGTAGTGTGGTTCTGACTATCCTGGGTGTATAGTAATCCGTTGCTTTGCTTTAAGCTTTATCATAATTGTAGGCCTCACAAATCTATATTGACTTGCTGAGTTGTTTTCAGCCCTAGCTGGAGAGGTCACCTTTTTGCACCACTGCTTCCATCTGGTGGCCATTATCTTAAATTGCAACAGCATGACCTCTTCAAAAAGGAGTCCTTCAGTCCTTCAGTGATGCTAGGTATCACACATTAAAATGCCTTTAAAATATGTCACATTGAAATTCTCGGGAAGGGGAACATTTATCAGCCATCAACTCTTCAGGCAAGAACTGCAGTGAACAGTTTATGAGTCAATGTGTATGTTTGCAAGTCATTTTTTTTTTTTATAAAAAACTTTGTGGATTAAGGACTGTCATTTCTGGTCTTTGGCTGTTAGTGAAATGAAAGGTTACTTAACTTATTTCCAGTGAAGAAAATGCCCATTTTCCCATTTAATTCAGCAGAGCCATCAGCTTTTGCCTTATTATATGAAGAGGTGTTATGCTTTTTGGTCACACTGGGTGAAGTGGAAGGAACTAGTTTTTGGACAGTCAGGAGTATGACACCACTCCTGGTTTTGCCCACAGCTGGCTCTGGGACTCCTAAAACGTCTCTTGACTTCTTTACCTATAAAGCAGATTTCTTGGGCTTCATGCTTTTTATGGTGATACTATGCCTAGGCTATAGCTAAAAGAAATTATAAAATATTCAAAATATCTGACAAAATAAACATCTTCTTAGTCTACGTATAAAACAATCATTAATATAAATGGAAAGCTTGAAATTTGTGCAGCTACTTTATCCAATTCTAATAAATTGTAAGTTACATCATAGTTTCAATATATTATTTTTTGGGGGGAAGATAAATGGTGCTACAGTATGTTTGTGCACTAGACAAGATATGATACATATTTCTTGCATTTAATTTTCATTGAAGCTCTTAAAAAATATATATTCTAAAAATATGCATCTTGGAATTTTGGAATTGTAGGCTGGGTATGATGATACACGTTTAATAATCCTGTCACTTACCAGAGCAGAGACAGAAGAATCAGTTCAAGGCCAGCCAAGGCCACATGATACCCTATCTCAAAAAACAAAAGTAATTTAGGAAGAAATGGGGAAGGAGAAGAAGAGAGAGACAAGTTGAATTTTTCATGCTGAGTGTTCTTTTTTAATAAAAGTAAGTATTCAGTCGTGCAAGATGGTGCTTACCTTTGATCCCAGCATTTGGGAAGCAGAAGCAGGTGTATCTCTGTGAGTCAAGGCTAGCCTGGTCTACAAATCAAGTTCCAGGACGTCTAGGGCTACACAGAGAAACCCTATCTTGAAAAACAAACAAAAAAAGTAAGTACTTTAAAAAAAATCTATATTTAAAATTGATAATGAAACAGTTTAATGTATTGCAAGAAAATAAATCGTGTTTTAAATAAAAATGATAGTGGTTGGTATTATAGATTCCATGGGAAATTTTGGTGGTTATCTAATATTGAAGAATGTGTTTACAGTCAATAGAGAGACCTGCAATCTCTGATAAATTATCATCACAATGTAGGTCTGAGTCCATTAACATATTTTTACAGAATGATACATCTATTTTCTGAAAATAAGGACCAGTACTTTATGTATAAGGCTTTAGTGACCGAAAGGAATAGATTCTCACCCAGGTCAGCTTGAATAGTTACTGTGAGTGCTGAGAACACCAGCAGACAGGCACTGCGCTGTCACAGAGCCTCAGGGCAGTTAAAACATTACCAGTGAATCCTGAGTCCTGATTCTCAGAGGCCTACGATCTCTCTTTTGGCTGCTTTTTGGTTTGGTTTCTGTCAGCTTTGCAAATGGCTGCTAGCTCAGTACTGTATGACAACCTCAACTCAAGTTCTCATACTGATCAGTTCCCTCTGTGTTCACTTCTATCCAGTTTGTATCAACTCTGTGCAAAGAATAGCTTAGTGATGCTTTTACTACACAGGGTTGATGAATAGGACATTTGAACTAAGTTATGAAGGTATACAAGGCAGGCAGTTGGGCTTTGTGTTCCAACTGCTGCTTCTTCCAAGACTCTGACCTGTGACTTCTTTGCCACCCTTGTCTATCTGACCCTCAAGGCAGACAGTGCTTCGATGGTTAGGTGTAAGTTAGGAGTTCTAAGATTATGTGGAACTCCTGGAACAAACTAATTTAGCACATTTGAGAATCTCAGTCAAAGTTACATAAATGTCTGTTAATGAATTGTGAGCTGTCTTTGGATAAAGGAAAGTAGGGTGTTGATCAGTGAATCCTGATGTCCCACTATAGAGCAGCTCATTCACACTGGAACTTATCTCTCAACAGCACATATAGCGACAGGTGCAGGAGTCTTTAGGGTCTCCTGTTACACCTGAGTGAGAAGTGGAGCAAGGAGTGGAAGAAGAAGGAAGAGAAGATTCCTGAAATACAGTGACAACTATTTATGTTTGTAACATGAGAAGGCTGGGCCTGCTTGTTTGTGTTTCTGTCCTGCCCTGCCCCCCAGCTGTTTAGTCCCAAAGAAAAATCACACTGAGATCTTCTATAAGTTATAAAGCTGATTGGCCCTTTAGGTCAGGCTACTTATTAGCTAACTCTCACATCTTGATTAACCCATTTTTTTCTGATCTATGTTAGCCATGTGGCTCAGTACCTTTTTCAGCGGGGCAGCTCACATCCTACTGCTTCAGTGGCCTGGGCAGGAGTGGGAGGAATCAGCTTCCTCCTTCCCAGAATTCTCCTACTCTCCTTGCATCATTTCCACTTCCTGTCTGGGTTTCCCACCTACACCTCCTGCCTGGCCAATCAGCATTTATTTAAAACATGATTGACAGAATACAGACAATTCTCCCACACCATATGTTTGCAAGCATTAAAAACAATACATTTTTCTAGCCTCTCTGATAAGAAAAAAAGTACTGGGCTTAGTTTTTAGAAACTCTTGTAGTTTCTTTGGAACATAGTTGCTGTTTATCCTTGATTCTGACTCTGGATCTAAGTTCAAGAGCATAAGAATGCTATCAAGGCCAGGCCACTTTGAAGACTGGCTGATAGTGGTATCAGTGTCAGGAGAGATGACAGCAGCAGCCTGAGTTCCTGACTGACTTTGCAATTACTCAAATCAGTTTCTCTGTGTGTTCTTCTCACAGGTGGATTTGCTCTTGTCTTTCTGGTGAGAACAAGCAATGGGGTGAAATGTGCCTTGAAACGTATGTTTGTCAACAATGAGCATGACCTCCAGGTGTGCAAGAGGGAAATTCAGATCATGGTAAGACTTTATGGATTATAACTGCTTCTTCTTTTTCTTTATTTAAACCATATATATGCATATATGATATATGTATAATGGTGTATATCTGGTATATATGTATGTGTGTATGTGTGTCTATATATGTAGATATATGTATATATATGTGTGTGTGTGTATATACTTCGACTTTTTTGAGACAGGGTTTCTCTGTGTAACTCTGGCTGTCTTAGAACTCACTCTGTAAGCCAGGTTGGTTTCAAATTCACAGAGATCCATCTGCTTCTGCCTCCCTAGTGCTGGGATTATAGGCACATGTTACCACTGCCCAACTTAAACCTTATGTATTTTTAAAATAGTTTTTATTAATTTCATACAATATGTTTTGGTTATATTCATTTCCTTACCTCAACTCTTCCTAGATCCTCCCCTAACTCTCTACTTATCCAACTTATTGTGTTCGCTCTTTAAAAACCCAGTAAGCCCAGTTTTGTATTAGCCGACTGCTCCTAGTGTGGAGCCTGCCCTGAAGTGTGGTTGATATACCAGCGTCACACCACTGAAGCCCACTGACTTTTGCTCTTCCAGTAGTAATCAAATGCTAATAGCTCCTCCACTACGGATGGCTTCATGCCTACCCTCTCCATCGTGTTGGGTTTTTGTCTAGCTTGAGGCTTTGCAGGTCTTGTGCATAATGTTATAACTGATGTGAGTTCATGTGTGCATCTGCCCTGTTGTGGAAAACTGTTTCCTTGAAATCTGGCTCTTAACTCTTTCTGCTCTCCCTCCCTGTACCTTAAGGGGAGAGGTGTGATACAGGCATCCCATTGAGGGCTGAGCTCCAAAGTCTCTAATTCTTTGTATACTAATGAATTTTGAGTCTTTGTGTTCATTGCCATCTGCTGCAAGAAGCTTTTCTGATGTGTGTTGAGCAATGCATTGATATGTGAGTTTAGCAACAAGTCATTAGATATATGTATATATGTGTGTGTGTGTATACTTCGACTTTTTTGAGACAGGGTTTCTCTGTGTAACTCTGGCTGTCTTGGAACTCACTGTGTAAGCTATGTCTGTTTAATAAAATAATAGTACTGCATTTTACCCTCAGGCCATGTATCTACTGTGGCTGTTTCAGGACAGGTATATTATGTTACCCTAGGAAAGTTACTGGGCAGGCCTGCACCCTTTCTTGTGCTAGCAGAAAGCTCTTGTGCTAGGTGGGACCAATAACGAGGGCCTATAGGGCTCTGTTCCTGCTTTGATCATCCTCAAGTGGAGGTTGAGGGGATAGAAGCTTATTGGGAGAACTGACTAGTTTAATTCAGTAAAGTAGTTTGGGACCTTGGGAAAGCATTTAATCTGGAAAGCCAAACTCTCTAGGAAGCTTTTCTCTCTTTCTGCTTCCCTCAGTTACCAGCCCTTGTTCTGGTTGCCAACTCCTCTGAGCCCTTCTGCAAGCTGGGAATATTCCCTGACACAACGTGACACTTCTGATGGTTTTTCCAGCTGAAGTGCTTCCTGAACTTTGACTACAATGTCAATACTTCATAGTGCCTTGTGATTCCCTTTCTAGAAGCCCACGAATAGGTAGAACTCACTGTGGTATTAGAAGTCAGAAAATAATTATTTGTGTTAGGAAATGGGCCAGAAGATGTATTATTCTGAGTTATGGAAGTCTGTTGTTTTGTGTATGGTCACACAGAAATATATAACTGTCAGAACTCAAACACATTAAGATCTGTTTTTATTTTGTAAATTATACCTTAATTTAAAAAACAAAGAAACTTACTAAAGAAAGATGGCTCAGGACTTCAGAGCATGTGCTATTCTTCTAGAGGACCCAAGTTCAATTCCCAGCACCCACAATCACAACTAACTCCTGAGAATCCAGTGCCTCTGACCTCTCAGAGCACCTGCATGCGCTTGCACACAGATACACATGATTAAAAATAATACACATCTTTAAATAACATACTAAATTGTATAGATTTCATTTTCTATCATTATTAAAGAGTCTATCAGGAATATATACTGATGTGTTTATGATGAAATGGTGAAAACAATAACTGGATTTAAAAGAAAGGTTGACGGGGTTTGATAATCACAACAAAGTTACAACTTTGAAAACTTGTTACTTGCTATCTTTGACATTACGCATAATAAAAACCTTTAAATATGTACATTGTTATTTTTGGTATTTCCACAGTTTTGTTTATACTGATTATATTGCTTTACCTGCTACATTTTAGGTAGTTCAGCCAACACATTGAGAGTTATTTAAAATCAGAAACTCAATAGTTTGACACATTGCTTAACATGCAGAAAACAGTTCAATTAAAGAGTGAAATGCATGTCTGTGTGGTTGCAGAGGTAGATCCAGATGTTCACCTAGAGGTGATGCCTTGGAAAAGAGTAAAATTAAAAGTTAGGTGTGGCGAGAGTCTAAACTGAAAGTATTTAGGAATGACCTAATACTGTGGAGTCAACCAGCCAACCCCAAGACTCCAGACCACATGGATTTGTCTGCAGTGGGCCTAAGGTCCTCTGCTTGCCCTGTCTCCTGCACATAGGAGTTTCCTGGATATTTCTCATGTCTCCACCTCTCCTTCTCCTTCAGCTCCTCTTTCATCCCTCCCCCTTGCTTACTCTATGCTTTCTAAACTGTCCATATTTCATTTCCTCTCTCTGTTGCCACTCTTTCTTCTGCCCAGAATGCCCTTCCCATTGTTTTACTTATGTTAGAAAAGGAATCCCATTCTTTCATTTTCTCCCACTCACTCGGAACATGAGGGCTTACTTGGTGCTAGTAGAAAAACCAAGAAGCACAGGCCCGAACACTGACAATAGATCCGATTAGGAGTTTAGTTGTATGGGATCAGTTTTGGACCAGGGATGCATTAACTATGACAGTTGGTTTTGGTTTTAATTGAATTTGTATTTTTTTCAAAGCTAAGTCAACCAGCTAACAAGAAAATGTCACACAGTCCCACACAATTCTCCTGTGCCTTCTCAGGGTCCTAGAGGTCATTATGGTAGTTGCTTCTTTGAATGTACTTCCCAGTCATGCTAGATCTTGATTTTTACTGCATTTCAGGCACTGTTCCCATGGGAAATAAGGCTTTAGCTTTTTTCATCCTGCAACACAGCCCACCTCCAAGTGTTAGCTTTGCTCTTATCCTGAATTCACTGGAATACGAACTAGTCAGTTTGGGCAGTGGGTTGGCTGTGGTCGCTGTGGGAGGGAGCTGCTGCTACTGCATCTGCTGCTGGGCAGCAAGCGCTGCCACTTTCCCACACAGCCTTTCTCGCCCGGACTTGTATCTGTTCCTCCTTTGCTCTCAGTGTTCTGTGTGGATTTCAGCAGTGTGACCCTGGACATCCCTCCACTATGCAAGCCATGTTTTAACTGTGCAGATGTAGCTGTTTGTCTGCTGTAACTCTCTGAAGAGTTGTCCTGGGTCCCTGGCTAGATGGACCCCAAGCTGGTGATGGATTCCTACCTATTCTTCTCTGGAGCCTGCTTGTTCTTAGAGAATTCCCTAGGCTCCTTCTCCTTGGCCTCACTTCTGTCAGCCTCCCACTCCTGTTTCACCCCTCCTCTGCGGAGGTGGTTGGACACCCAACAGCTTCCTCTTATGGATTGGGCTTTTGGGGTCAAATCAAAGAAGTTTTTGCTTAGCCTTCAATTCCGAAGACTTTCATGTAACATGAGGGCCAGCTTGTTGGGGTTTCTGTCCCACCCAGTACCCCACAGCCGGCAAGTCCCAAAGAAAATCACACCCAAGACTCCATAAGATTATAAACCTTCCTGGACCTGGAGGGAGGGGGGAGGAGCTTGGACTGCCTGCAGGGTGGGAGACCCTGACTGCTATTGGGGATGGAGAGGGAGGAGGGGAGGGAGTGGAAGGAGTAGGAGGGTGTTGGGAGGAGGGGCAGAAATGGAGACTTTTGTATTTTAATAAACTTTGAGGAAAAAAAAACATTATCCTGAAAAAAAAAAGATTATAAAACTGATTGACCCATTAGGTCAGGCTACTTACTAGTTCTTATGACTTATCTTAACCTATTATTCTGATCTATGTTAGCCATATGGCTTGGTACCTTTTTCAGCTGTCAGCTTACATGTTGCATCTTCAGTGGTCTGCGCAGGAATGGCAGAGGAACCGCCCTGCTTCCCAGAATTCTCCTGTTCTCATTGCATCACCTCTACTTCCTGTCTGGTTTTCCCGCCTATACTGCCTGCCTGGCCAATCAGTGCTTTCTTAAAATATGATTGATAGAATATAGACAATTCTCCCACATCACTTTCACCTATTCTTTTCTCTAAAATTTTGTAGTTTTACACGTTACATTTAAAGTCCATGAACCATTATATAAGCTGTGAGACTTTTGTTGACATTCTGCTTTTTGCTTATGAATAACAAATTGTTTTAGCATGCCTTCTGAAAAGGCATCCTCTGCTCTGCTGGTTGTGAAATGTCACTGGAACTGGAATTGTAGCTTAGTCTAGCATGCTTGTCTGTATACAAGGTCCTTAGTTTGATATCCACTCCACCCTGTACTTCTGATGATCCCCACCCATAGGAACTTAAATTGTAGGGTCCATTACTAGAACTTTCTCTGTCTGTCTTCTTATCAACTGTATGCACATCTCTCCACCAGTATCCTAATAATCTTGTTTCTGTATGTAGATAGTAAATCTTTTTTTTTTTTTTGAGACAGAGTCTTATGTTATAGCCTTGGGTTATCTTAAGCTTTGTAGCCAAAGCTAGCATTGAACTTCTGATTCTTCTACCTCTATCCACCCAGTCCTGGTATTATGGGTGTATGCTACCACACCCAGGTATCAAACAAGATTCCCTCATATTTTCCTCAGAATGTTTTAAAATACTCTAATCCACATAGTATATTAGTTTCTTTTCTCATCAATGTGACAAAATGCCTAATAAAAGCAACTTAAGGAAGGATTTGACCCGTGGTTTGAGAACAATTACAGTCGTCATAGAAGGGAAGGCATGGTG